GATCCTGGGAGACCTGGCCTGAAATTTCAGATGCTCTCAAATGAACTGATAAATCTAAAATGTCTCTTGACCACACAGTTCAGGCTTCTATCTGTGGGCCAACAAATGCTTAGTAGACCTTGTGGTGTTGCCTTTTGTAACCTCACAGTGATGTATTAGTTTATAGCTGCTTGAACCGCTGCAAGGTGAACATTAAAGGAAAATGGCTTTATATTTTTAGATGGAGAACAACTCCACTCTTGAAGGCTTAATATTTTATGAGGAACAAGCCCTTTGGTTGGGTTGGTAGTAGAGAGAACGTGCACACTTGCATCTTATTTCCATGTAATGTGCAGAATAGAGGAGGACAGCTTGTTCTCTAGCAGAACCAGCCTGGTTTTGGGGACTGAATACCTCAGTGATCCACTGCCTTTTTTTGTTTTTGACTCTTTTATTTCCTCTTTGTCTCTTTGAATAAATACCACAGATTAATTTTTATTAGCCTAATAAGACTACCCACTCCATGTGAATTAACATGTTTTGTGCCTAAATACAGGCAAGCACTGAGAACATGTTCCTTATTTTAAGTTCATGTAGCCTTTACTTCGCTATGCCAACTTCCTGCAGAAACCTCTTCAGGTTGGCTGTGATTAAAGAATTCATCACAGCCTTTCCACCCTGGTTCCTCAGCAGGGCGTAGTAAAGTGCACTGAACAATTTTCGGTGAGATGCTGTGCGTCTGTATTCCCTCAAGGGCCGTCCAATCACTTACCTGGCAGTCAAAATAGTGGCTGGAGTTCAGTACAGTCACCTCTGGCAATGCCCGTACTATAGACGCATTGAGAATATTACAGCAGGCAGGAGCAAAGCATGCTGGGACTTTGAGAATGCAGTTACATAAAAATAGATATAATATGGTATATTTTACTCTTTTATGTTTCTATTGTGGAGCTGTTTTTATCAGCTTCTTTCTGCCCTGAGAGATGCAGGTTGTTAATTTGGCAGTGTTTGAGTTTGAAGTAGTTTGTCTTTTGAAGAAAAAAAAAAAAAGTTTCAGTCAGATTTTAGACGTTAGGCTACAGCTGTTGCCATGTTTGTTGAGTACACAGTTACTGTGGCTACACGGGCCATTTGTCGAGATATATATATATATATATATATACACATGCTGTGCCAAACTGGGCTCTCAGAAGCTGTCTAAGAAAATGTGCCTTATTGACACTTTGCATTGTCTTGGTTGGTTACTTTTCTATTTAAGTCCGGATGTCTTTAGCTGCATTTACATATTTACTTGTTCACTAGGTCACTGAATAAAAATTACACTTTGTTAACCTACCCGGTCATTTAATCAACTATCTTCCAAACTCTGGTACATGGTGTAATTACCTTTTTTAAACTGTCTTCCATGTATGATATCACAAATCAAATTTCTTTCACAAGAGACTCATTCCAGCTGATCATTTCAACTTGTACTATCATGCTCCAACCATCTATATCCACTTCAGAGACAGGAAAGTAAGCTTGATTACTACAGCATGGTAGTAGTACGAGCATAGCCAGGAATCATAGTGTGGGTAGACTGGACAAAGAGAGAACCAGATGTGCATAACCCGTCCCAGACAATTAGGTTCTGAAGTGCTACCTTAGCCAAAAATAGGCAGCTAGAGTTTAAGAATACGAGTGAAATTACAGGCACAAACGCTCATTGCACCTGGTTGATGGCACAGCAACATGTAGCTCCACACATGCTCACACACCTGGCAGAAGCAAAAACATCCATCCAACGATTGGACTTGGTTATTCATTCAGATTTGCAAAAAAACTGCACAAAATCCAACTTCATGCATCAAACCACCTTTTAGGAATTAGTTATTTCACTGTAGTGAAATGATTGAGTCGGTTCTGTTTGTACAGATTTTAGTCTGTGATTGGATCCAAATTTACACCCTTCGTACTTGCAGACTAAACCCTTGCAGACTTCAGTTGTACGCGCCGTGACATGTTCACTGTCATCACGTCAAGTCTGTGAGGATGCTGGGCCATGGGGGAAGGAAATGAGCTGAAACAGGATTCCAGCCCTTAGTCGTTTTCAGGAAGAGTAATTGAAATTCCTGACCCTGTAACCCATTAAAAAGTGTTTTTTTGAGTGGTTCTGAAAAGCACATTTGTTGACATCAATTTATGCTGCTTTACATACAGAAATACAGTTTTCTACAATTATCACAAAATGGAGCAGAGGTCTGTTCAGTGGCATATCATCAAGTGGTAAACAAGCACTAAACTGTTTTCTTTTAAAGACTGGATAAGTGAGTCTGGAGAAATTCTATACGGTGACAAATACCACGATATACAGTGAACAAAAACTTCAAGTGACGTAAGTAAAGTAAGCTATGTTGTAGTTTAGCAGACTGCTGAAGTTGTAGTTGTGGACGGGAGTATGGTTTTCACACTATTTTAATAGCCGATGGATAGTTTCAGTCAATTTTCAAGCAATAATAGAGAACAAGATGATAAACATGATCTAGTTCCAGTGTCTGTCTTTTGTTATCTATTGTTTGATAATTCAATTAGATGAAAAAACACGGACCCATGTGGTATCACCTGAGGATTTATGCAACTTAGTAGCTGATGAATGTACTGAGATCAGTTGCTCTCGACATGTTTCCTCTCTGTTCGCCGCTCATTAGCTCGCTTTTCCAACTTTTTCCTCTCATGCAGGTCATAAACCACCTAAGTATCCTCTTGACGGTAAATGACCTGCATGCATTTAACCCATCTCCTCCTAGACATTAGAGTCTTCCTCACTCCCACTCATATATAGATCATGTATTCATATTGGATCTTGGTTTTGGTCTTTACTGTACGAGATCTACGCTTTATATTATATCAGGCTCCTGCTAACTCCCACTTAGTCATTTAGTCGTCCTTTGCTGTCTGGCAGTGTCTCATTTCCATGTTTCCCGTTTTGCACCGTTTCTTTGTGTAGCCCTCACAAGACTGGCTCTGTCCTCCACCCCCGCCTCTCCATCTGTGCCACGCATTTATGTTGTTTCACTGCAGTTTCTGAAGCGCACATTCTGATTACTACCAGGTGAGGCAAACTAACTGCGCTCTCACATGCATTCACGACATGCCTCGGGACACACACACACACACATCCACTGTGGGGTTCTGTGGAGCAGTGGTGCATATAGACGGCATTTGCTTGTTGACAACATTGTCATTGGAAAGCAGTGTGTTTTGCTGCTTGTTTTCTTTCTTTCTGGGCATCAGACCTGCTGTTGTTATTTCCAGGTGTTAAGTGGCATATTTTCTACTGAGTAATATTTGACCCCAGCGTGGTAGACATGTTGAAACTGCTACACAGGGGATTACTGCCTGACATCTACCCCACCTGTCTTTGGCCTTGAGCAGAACAAGTTTTCAGAAAGAATCCGATTGTGTGTGTATTTGTGCAGATGTGTTTGTCTTTGTGCTTGCATCAGTTTCTTTGCCGTTATTTTCTTTCTCCCATACTGTCTCTGCTCCATCTGGCCTAGTTGCTCCCAGCTGTTTGACCATGGTCAGTGCATGAGCTTTGGTCTCCTGTGTGGCCCTGGGGTGGGAGGCCTGGATGTCTGGGTATAGGCGGGGGATGCCTGAGATCACTTCTGCAGGACCCAGCAGCTACAGAGTCAGGAAGCTGTAATTAGGACTAGAGGAGGCTTAACACTCAGGAGCTTTTTTCTCCTTCCTTACCCTGCCACTCTCTCTCTTGAGAAATGCTCCCACATTAAGAGACCAAAGCTCATAATTACGTGTGGTTGAGAGGATTGTAGTCCTCTGATGTGCGGCAATTTAATGCTTCATTTATTTACCTTCATTGCTGTGTATTTCACTCTGTAAGCCATCATTGAACCTAATGTGTTTTACACCAGAGTATTTGACTAAGTCAGGCTGATAATGAGAATGTTATTTTTAATGATTTTTTTTTTGTACAGCAAGGAAATAAGCAAAAAGTATCATGTTCATGCACATGGGAAATACTGACGAGTCCAGGTTTTGAAGTAGTGTCTTAATCATGTTGCTTATGGGTTATTACAATGATGACAGGAAATGAGAAGCCAAACAAATTTAAAAAGAATGGATAGATAATTCAATCTGTTTAAAACACAGAACACAACGTTTTATAGTGGAGATGCTCCACCTCACCTAAAGTAAAGAGTTTCTCCGGTTGAAAGGATTTGTTAATTAATCTATTAGTTTATCAACAGAAAAATAATTTGATATTAGATCAAGAATCACTGTTCTCAAAATGTGAGGGGATTTGCTGCTTTTTCTGTTTTGTTTTATTGTAGGTTTTATATGTTTGCGTTTTGGATTATTGGTTTAACGAATACAGTTATTCAGTTTGGCCACTGGGGAATTGTTGGGGGCTGTAGTCTCCGCTAATGTCAGAAGGAACAACAGATCACAAATGAGAAGCTGGATCACGTCTGAGTTTTTACACACTGTGAAAGTACAAACTGCCCAATCAGTCACAATCAGCTGCTGATGTGTCAGAAAAAAACTCACTGCTACACGGCAGGTTTGCCTGAAGTTAGTTTGACAATCACCAATTGAGTCTGCATCAAGTTAAAATTAGGTAAGGCTAAGTATTGGCCTCAAACTAACCAAATTTACTTAGAATATATTTGTTTTATTTATTTGGGGTTTGTTTAAATGGTTCATATTTTGTGTGATCTTTTGATGTGTGAGAAAACATTTCAATCCAGCTGATGCAGAACCGTCTTTAGTTCTTTTTGTGACTTAAGTGCCGGACATTTTATGAGTGAAGCTGTAAATTTGATTCCAGTTAATAAATGGCCTTAGTCTTTAAAAAATGTCTTCTTTTTTGTTATGAATGGAGAGCAGCCAAGTTCTGCTCTGCAGGAGGTGTTTTCCTGCGGTGTGTCTGTGTGAGCACTTTTTTCATGCACACACTGACTCATGTATGCATGTGCACTCTTGACTCCTCTAATTTGTACCACTCCTCTTCTCAGGGTCCTGTTATATCCTTGAGGACACACGGACATGAAGAAATAGAAGCATCAGTTGAGGTGAGTGTCTCAAGCCTCCCCTTTACTGCTCCACATGTTTCCATTTTTCCCCTGAGCAGTTTCATTCAGAGCGCTCTTCTTTTTACAGGCCCTCCAGCTGACCTCCGGGCTAAGTCCTGGCCGTGGGGCTTTGTTGTTGGTGGGCCAGCTGAACAGGCTTGTATGTGAGTGAGAGGTAATGAAGTCCAGTATGAGGCAGTGGCGGAGGCTGGTGCTGGCGGGAATGCTGGCCTGGGTTCTCCTCTTCCTCGCCCTCCTCTCTTACTTCCTGGATGCTCGTGTGAATGAGCCCCTGACCTCTGCTGGCTCTTTACTCTCCCAGCACCCTGACACCCGTCGCCTGGCCTCTATACAGGCCTCCCATCAACAGCCTGCCAACCTGGGCTCCCGACCTGAACTGGCTTCCACCTTAACTACAAACTACCCCAGAGATGAGTCAGAACCAGAGCCCTCTGCCAGCTCCACAACCCCAGAGTTCAGCCTGGAGGTGAGCCACAGCCCGAACAGTGCTCCCTACTCTATTTATGGTGGCCAGGAGGCCAGCCATCAGGACTACCTGGACCCACAGAGCCTGGCGGCCTGGTCCTCCTTTGGTACAGAAAATGTGGGTTCTCACTCAGACCCTGCAGTCCAGAGTCGTGAGAGAACCTCCCAGACCACAGAGTACCAGAACCATGCCAGCAACATGCGCTACCACCGTGGGGAGGAGGAGGAGGAGGAAGAAGAAGAAGATGATGAGAGGGAAAATGAAGATGAAGAACAAGGAAACAAGAGGAGGACTGCAACAGGCAGGAGGGCTGGCAGTGACTCCTCTGATCTAGAGGAATATTACTTTTCCAAGTCAGCCTCTGTGGTCCAGCGGCTGTGGCGGGGCCGCGTGTCCGCCGGCATGCTGAGTCCTCGGCTGCAGCGTGCCATGAAGGACTACGTCAGTGCCAACAAACACCGTGTTTCCTACAAGGGGCATCGCAGGGCTGCCCAGAGTGCTAAAGAGATGCTGTGTCAAATGAAAGCCCAGGCCCGGCTGAGGACAGTGGACGGGTCAGAGCAGCCATTCTCCTCACTTGGTTGGGCTCGCCTCGTGCCGTCTCTTCCCCTGGAGCAACTGCACGGACGGCAGGACCAGAGCAGCTTCAAGACCTGTGCAGTGGTCACTTCGGCCGGTGCCATCCTGCGCTCAGGACTGGGCAAAGAGATCGGTGAGTAGAAGGAGAAAAGATTTTGAGCAAGGGCAAAGAGGGGCCACAGGGCTGCGCGCCAAACCGTAATACCTTTTTTTTTTCCCGACTGATATATCTGGTATTTTTTTAAACTGACCATATCTAATTTAAATATGTTTGGGGCAAAGTCCTGCTAGACAACATTTCATTTTCCTTGATGAAAAGATATACCCAGCTCTACAGTTGACAGAATAAAAGATAAGGGAGGATGCACTGTGGCCGAAGTATAAGCTGAAAGATCTGAATTTTAAAAATGCTGTGTGTGCTCAGGACACTGCCAAACAAAAAATCCACTATACTTAACCTAGAGGCTGCAATAATAATTACACCCCACAATCTGGAAGGGTTGGACAGAACAAACAACATACTGGTAATTCTGTTTTTTGTTGAGTCAATCCAATTGTGGGACTTAGAATATCAGTGTTCCTGTCATGAACATAAGTATATTTCCATTCACCTGTTTTTATGTGCATGCACATTAAAAACCTGTGTGGAAGTGACGGGAAAAAAAAGAAACTGAAATATTGCTGTTTTGATGCTTAGTTGAGATGAATTGGTAACACACAGACTTAGTGAATCAATCATGACATACGTACATGATGCTCATGTGAATTAAACTTCCTCTTAAGCTTTCGCTCCACTAGAGTGAGGGGAAATAGTGTCGGATGAAGAACATCAGATATATGCCGAGTGATAAGTAACCTGTGACTTTCCTCAAAATGATAGTATATAGTAAAGTATATTTTTTGGAGGCTTTTATTGCCTTTATTATAGTGACAGCTGATGACACGCAGCAAAGGGCCACCGGTCAGATTTGAACCCTGGGCTGCTGCAGCAGGGACTTCGGTACATGGGTCGCCAGCTCTACCAACTGAGCTAACCGGGCACCCTTGTTTTCCTTTTTAATCATATCCTCTTATTGCGCCCTCTTCTCCTGCAATGGTTTAATGGTTTCCGAATGGAGAATTAGCACCACCAACTGTTAAGCTTGATAAGCTTGACTCCTGATATTCACATAATGGTAGTGAATGGAAATGCGCATATATTTCATTTTCTTTTGCTAATTTTAGATTGAAACTTGACTATTGTCACTAGAGTAAACACCATGTGGCCATTTTAAATTAAAAAGGTTTTTCTCCTCTAAAGCAATAATTTATTAGCAAATTTTTGGTTATGACAATCTCTCTTGTAGATTACATTCAAAGTTGACTCATGGACCTGAGGGTGGAGGAAATGAAAAGAGCCCAAAAAGCATGAATTTAGTCCATAACTTTAATAGCACAAGATTTTTTGTGTACAAGTTGAAATTTCAGCCCGTTGATGGAACTGTGGGCATAGACTGATTACGTTTGGCGCTCTTGAGGCCAGTAAAATACACGGTACATTTCATGGAAATTCATTTTTGAGCGACTTTATCACAGACAAAGCTCTCATCATGTTTTCTTCTCTAAAAAATAATTTCAAAGTGAATTGCCAACAGAGAAATGGTATCATATATTCTCAAACAGTGATCTTTATTTGAGACGGGCAATTACTAAATTTCAGTTTGATGTTATTTGCTGTTGGTGCTGGACACAGTTAAAGGACTTGTGTGTGTAAGATTAAGTGGCATCTAGCAGTAAGGTTGTAGATTGCAACCATTTGAATACATCTCAACCTTCCAACGAGGAACTATGGTGCCCTCGAAACTTGCTCAAAATGTAAAAGGCCCTATTTAGAGCCAGAGTTTGGTTTTTCCCCTCTAGACTACTGTAGAAACATCAGAACGTCAGATAGAAGGCCTTGCTATTGGATTGGATATCGTCTGTTGCCTTTTTAACTTGTAAGTTTGGTGGGCAGAGTGTTACGAGGTTGTGGATATAGAGATTTGCATATGTTTGCATATGTTTTGCCTACTGCACATTTCAGGTCATGGAATTGTTATAAAGCAGTTACAGCATAGTAGAGCTGCAGCTGAATAGTACAGTTATAACAAGATTACTAAGATCCATGTTAAGACAGTTACTGTAGCTTGTCAGCAACTCCAGTTTAAGGTAGGTGAATGGGGTAGTAGTATACCATCTGAGTGACTGAACTAAGCTTGATCTCTTAGAGCCGAAGGATCTGTCCTAGGTTTCTGCCTTTTAACAGGCAGTTTTTCCTTGCCCTTGTCGCCTAGTGCTTGCTCGTGGTGGTACTGTTGGGTCTCTGTAAATAATGTTTTAAAGAGTTCGGTCTAGACCTGCTCTATTTGAAAAGTGTCCTGAGATAACTTCTGTTATGAATTGGCGCTATACAAATAAAATTGAATTGAATTATGCTTTGAGCACAGTGGCCTGCTACGATGTGGAATTTTGATGGTCAACAAATATCTATTTGTATCTACAAGGACTTGAAGGATCTCCAATTTTTGCATGGCATTTGCAGATTAACTTGTCAAACTGACTGTGAGCAGGGTTGAGTGTGTGCCTAGTAGGCTATATGTCTTTGTGTTTGAATGTGTGTCTTCTTGGTTTAGAGACTTTGGCAGCTCTGTGGTTAGTGGGGAGAGTGTGAAGTCAGTGACAGATGGCTCACTAGAAAAAAAGCCCCCCTCTGGTAACCAATCAGGCTCCTTCACATCACATATAGCTTCCTTGCATTTCCCTGTGAATTCAGCTGTTCAGACCAAGCAAAATCATTAATATGAAGAGCTTCAGCTTTATTATATTTCTGTAATGTCCCTATATACTGACAGCGTTCTATAGACGCTAGTTGTCCCAGAAAAGAGACACCCAGAAAGAGAAGCATGTCAAACAAAAACTGATGCGTGCAGGTGATTCAAATCTACAGCTGCACTTTATCCTGTGGGACCCAGTGGGGTTAACGTCTGTCTGTGAACACACCAGTCTCAACACTGACGCCTCCACCTGCTACAAAAAAAATCTTAAATCTTAATCATAAAAAGAACACACTTACGACATTTATAAAGCTGCAGGGTGTAAACAGGTTTGCTGTAAAGTTTCAGAAATACAGATGTAGGATGTGGTTTAGTTCAGTGAGTGTTGTTGTGTATTGTTACTTCCTGATGACTGTTTGTTTGGTATTTCTTGTTAGTAAGAAGAACATTTGATTGACTTTCTATTCTTCCTTTTAAGAGGCACCGAAAAGGGAAGCAGACTTCAGTTCTGGGCACCAGGCCTTGGACTTAAACTCGGCAGGTGCTTCTAAATCTCTGTTGATGTATCATCATCCCCCATGTTTGTTTTTGGGTTCTGGCCAATAATGTGACCCATATGCACATGCTTATAAACAAAGGAAGTATACGTGTCTTTTTGTCTTTGTGTCTTTGCTTTCCCTGTTTTGGACATACCTTGTTAAAAAGCGATTCCAAGCCCCACATATGCCATCAGAGAGTCGTTATGAGAGTGCAGAAAAGTTGTCAAATGAAAAATTGCAATTCATGACCATTTGAGGCCAATCACATACATATTTATGTGAAGCAGCAGCAGGGTATTGGTTCAGTGTGTCATCATCATGGTAATCTGTTCTTAAATAAGAGATTTTGCCTGACAGGGGATTTAGGGCCTGTCCTCACCAATACGATGTCGTTTAGAAAAAAATCTCCGTAAACACGGTGTCGTTTCCAGAAATATCTGCGTCCACACAGATTCACTGACAACGACCCAAAACGCTGCAGTACATATGCCAGGCCTGTATGTTGCGCTGTGACACCGTCACACCAATACACTAAAACCGGGAGAGAAGCCATGGAGCATGCACTGTTTACAAACAAGTAGTAGTAGTCTGTTGTTGTTGTTGTTGTTGTTGTTGTTGTTGTTGTTGTTGTTATGACGCGTCTAGCGGCGCCGGCTGAGGTTAAAGGCTAGAGAGGCGAGGCTAATCCGTTTTCGCCGTCCAGACGACTTTTCGGATTTTCCCACTCTGGGACCCGTTTCCAAAAAATAACATTTTAACACCCCGAAAATGCCGTATCCGTCTGGACGCGAGGCCGATACGATAAAGTATTTATCCGGATTCGAGAAAAACGTATTTGTGAGGACCGGCCCTTAGTGACTTGACAAATAAGATAACGTTTATAGAGCTGATTAATTATGGAACAGACTCATAGTGTTGTAAAAGCCTGACTTTGTTACATTAATTCTCAGGCTCAGCTTCAACAGGAAATCAAACCACATTGATCCCGCTCCATCTACTTCTTCTCACCCTGCTGTCCTTCCCAAAAGGCTGCACTGCATCAAAACCCTCATTATGCAGCTTTGAACTGTGACAAATCATTGAAAGATGAATGTGAAAATGGTTCTCTTTTCTGTGCTGCTTGCAGGTCGGCTGACATTTAGATTATCCGGTTTCTCAGCAGTTCATCCTGTGAGAGCTTAGTAACTGAGGATTTGGTTTGGTTTAGTGTGTGTGTGTGTGTGTGTGTGTGTGTGTGTGTGTGTGGGTGTGGGTGGGGTGTGGGTGTTGGTGTGGGTGTTGTGTGGCTGCCATCATGTGGTGGACAGGATGAACTGCATCCCCAGTACAACAGTGGATGGAGAACATAACAGCAACACATTTCAGCATTATTCAGCTAAATGCCCTGCAACAAATGCCGTCTTTGTAAAGTTTATTGTATTGATTGTTTTTGACATGTAGATTCACTCAACTCTATGGTCGTTTTAGATGATAGTTTGTGCTTTTGTTGAGTAAATATGATATTAGGATGCCTTAGTCTGTGCTGGTGAAGCCTTGGCTGACTGTCCCTCTTTGTTAATGTTGTTTATCTGCAAATTTCAGGTCATAAGTTTGTCATAAGAGTAAGTATGACTGATTGGTTTTGATGGATTTGTTATTGATTCAGTTGGGCAGAATTGAAAAAAATTCAAACTCAGTGCCCCCAGTGGTAGTATTAAGAAATGACCCTGTGTTATATCTGTCAGCAGACCTGAAGACACTGACATATAAAAGGATTATTTTCTTTTTCTACAAAAAATGCTAATGATTTATCAGAAAACAATTACTGTCAACAAAAACAACAAAAAGTAAATGGTCACTTTTCTAGATGAGGTGGGGTCTAATCTTTATAGAACTGCCAGCTAGAGCTAGAAATGTAAATTACAGCTGCATCTAATGATGAATCATTATCAATTTAGCTTTGTTTATAACAGTATAACATGTAAGAAAATTGTGAATAATACCATCACAATTTTCTTTGTCCAAGACCCAAATATATTCAGTTTACAGTGACAGAAAAGCACAACACATGTGAAGAGGCAGACACCAGCAAATGTTTGCCATTTTTAACCTGAAATCTGACCAGAATGATTACAGAAGAATTGGTTGTCACAATAGTTTTTTATTTATTAATTTTTATCTCTAAGCGTTTCAACTCTAATGCAATCGATACAAATATGAATCTTTATTTGCACACACTACCAGTGTAGCAGTATCTAGCGGTGACATTGCAGCTCGCAACCAACTCACTTCACCCTCCTCTCCCAGTCGAGTAGGAAAAACTATGGTAACCTTGAAACTCGTGAAAAACACAAAAGGTATGATCTAGAGCCAGTGTTTGGTTTATCTGGCGGCGGTTAACATGGCGGCCTCTGCAGACGAGGACCTGCTACATCTGTAGATAAAAATGTCTCATTCTAAGGTAACAAAAACACAAGGATTCTTATTTTCAGGTGATTATACACTAATGAAGTCACACCTATGAATATTATATTCCATTTATGCCAATAGATCCTTCTGAATGTTACACACTGGACCTTTTTAAACAATGATATAAAATGCCTTGCAGGGAAGAAAAACAAGAAGGTGTGAAAGAGTAAAGATGTGTGTCGAAGCACAAAAGGTAACTTGAAAAGCCTTAAAACTCGTCATCATCCTTAGAACAGCCAACATTGCCCAGCAGGGCCTCATCTGCTGATGCTGTAGAAATCTCTGGCACTCGATGGGTAAACGGGTAACGTAATAAGCCTAGGCTCAGTCACAGGGATGTTGATCTCAAACTGTAAAAGTCATTCATAATGTGAGGAATGTAACGTATCCAACATGAACAAACTGCATCAGTAGAGGAGCAGTGTAGTTCAGTCTCAAGGACACTGATGAATGCACTGTAGCATTAGATTAATCAAACTCTCTATGACAGAAGATGAATAATGATGTTATAATGCTGTAGTTTAATCACTGTGTTCGTCACAAGCTTTGCATACTTTCTGCCACTGAGAAAATGCTGTTGATGTAGAGGAACACACAGCTTACTCTAAAACCTGAATCTGACCAGAGGACCAGAGTTTCTTTTTGCTGTTCTCCACACAGTCTGTTTACTGTAGAGCTGAGGTTTACTTTCAGCCATTATAGTATTAACAACTCTCAGCTTTTAAACATGCTGATCTCTGTTTATTGATATACGCAAAGTCAGAAACAGAAACCCTTGGTTCTTCTTATAAATACTTGATTGGAAAACAAGTGTTGCATGTTGCAAACTAAGTAGGTCATAACAGGCAAATCGCTGGATCTATTTATCTTGTTTCTTTGCGGAGATAACTCAGACAAGTAGGTGCTTTGACCCTGATCAGCAGGTCTTTTTCTCAAAGGTCAGACAGGCAAAAATCTTTCTGTCGGTTTGGGGTTGGGACTTGGGTGAATGTTTTTCATTTTGGGGAGGATGTAGAGTTGCAGAGGCTAGATGAAGATAATTGGTCTTCTTTTCTTTTCACTATTTATATTTAGGTACATTTTTGAAATTTCTCTTGAAGCACTTGACAGTTTTAAACTTCTAGGGCTCCTCAAAGAAATATTTTTTGATTAAACTGCTCACCACTCTGCAGCCTCTGAAGGGGGTCATGAGTAAGGCATTACTTAATTTTAAGGGATCACAGTGAGATTGAAAATCACTGGTTTCAGGAAAGAATATCCATAGAAAAAATTTGTCATGAAGACATTTCGACAGGTTGTTAGTTGGAACTGGTACCCTCTGTCCTGTTACATAATTGAAGTCTGAGTGGCTTTCCCACCATGTAGAAACCTTATGAATTGGCTTAATTGTGCCATGTTATTTGTTTAATAATATCCTGTAGTACCAATTCAACACAAAATACTCTTCATTAAGAACTACAAGTATATGTGATAGTCTCCAAACACTCAAATCAATTTAAGGCAAAGGCAGTTTTATTTATATAGCACGATTCATACACTTAATGCTATTTCAAAGGGATTAACATGAACAACACTGATAAAACCTAAAGTTGCCAAAGCTTTAAATATGTGAAAACAATTGTAGGCTACTACTATGTGTCATCTTTACACCATCGTTACTAGTTATGGCAAACACGATAATCAATTAAAGTCAGTGCATCAAAGTATAATCAAAAACAATATACAAAAAATACCTTGGAACAATACATTCTAGAAATATGAATTATGGAAATATTACAATAATAAACAAATAAGTGAAAAAGTGACGAATGAATAATAAAATACATACATTAATAACTAAATTAATAATAAAATGAAGTTTATAGATAAAATAAAAACAAATCGGGATGGAAAAAATGGAAATTAAAAAATAAACAGATACAAAATAAATACAAATTCTAAAGGGAACAATAAAAAGTGAAAAGATTTGATTGTGCAATAGTGTTTCTTTTTTTCTTTTTCACAAAATACTAATGTGCGACACATTAATGTCCTCTTCTGTAAAACTAACATTGATTATTTGGCTCCACCAGCAGCTGATTGTGCTGGATATGGACAAAGAACACCATCTTTAAGAAAACTTCCTTTTACCATCTATCAGTGTGACGAATCCCTACAGCGAACAGACATGTTTACATTATTATATCGGATCAGGAGGGCAAACTCAATGTCAAAGCTAGTGAGCATGTGTTCCCGGACTATTTACAGCACGTAGCGTTGTTGTGAATGTCAATTGGTGTTGACTGGTGGCAGTGATGAAGGACTATCCGATCTAAAGCCGGAGGGTCATTCATTCTGGTGTCAGATCAACACAGGAGGAGGATCTGTGGACCTGACGGATCGATTAACTGACAGGCAGACATTACAAGTTTCTAATTATTACTACAACCATCTATCAAGCTGAGGATTTCATGTCAGTGTGAGTTCATGTGTGTGTATGAACTGTGAAGGACACTATATATGTTTATGTATATGTGTATACACTATACAGCATACTGTGGGCAGAATTGGGTATTAAACTAGAATATTTGTGTCTCATCAGTTACAAGCGCTAACCACTAGAGAGCACTTTGGTTATGTCTGTGAACCAGCGAGTGTGATGAGAATTCACACCACTGCAGTCACTATGTTGTCATAGTGACTTTTGCCACTAACATTTTGATGGTGCTGGGGCCATTGATCTGACTACAATATTTACAAGAAGACGCATGTGTGTGCATCAGTCTGAAGTAATTCAGATGCAAATGAGCGTGTGCGTGTTTCATTGAGCCACAGTCTCCATGTATGTATGTATGTATTTATTATTTTGCCTTGAAAAAACAAGACGAGGACAGTCGTGACTGTCATGACCTTGACAAGCTCTGGTTAATGTGAGACACTTGATGGGCAAATATTTGAAACTGACCCTGAGGTACTTTTTTCCTTGTTTTACATTGATATGGACAATTCAAGGGTTGAGTGTCAAACCTTGAACCAAACATATATTGTCTGATTTAAATAAATATAAAACCAAACCAGCTTTAGTTGTCATATTCCCCTATGTATACTTCAGGGTCAGTTCATTACCTGCTTTAAGTGACGTGGTCTGTGGTTTGCCTTTCAGATACTCACGACGCAGTTCTACGGTTCAACGCTGCACCTACAGAGGGATACGAGAGAGACGTGGGGAACAAAACCACTATTCGCATCATCAACTCGCAGGTGAGTGAGAGTCTGGCCTTGTACAATGCATAATAATGATTCATTAATGGATTATGGAGAATTCAGAGAGCTGCGTGAAACACATGTAAGACATAGAGCGGCACATGATGAAAATATAAATGATTTATGACTTCAATTATTTCTTGACATGCAGTGAATGTTGTTTTATTGATGGCTGGTTTGCATTTCGTGATTGTTTTTATTTATATCAGCTCAACCATTTGTGAATAGGAATGATTGTATCAATAATACATTTGCTATTTAATTAGCTCATTCTGACCGTATAATGGGAATATGTTTTTATAAAAAAAAACCCTATTATTATTTTTATATATATATATAATATATATATATATATATATATATATATATATATATATATATATATATATATATATATATATATATATATATAAATATATATATATATATATATATAAAAATATCAAAATTTTCTTTGAGGATAGTTCATGTTTGTTATGGCACACTTTCTTATTAAAAATCAGAGCTTACTTAACATTAAAGGTTCCAGCTCAACGTAGGGGAAATCCAGACTCTCCTTTCCAAACACAGTAAATGCTCTCCTGTTATAACAACACTGCAACAATGTCTCATGATTTGCAGTTAGTGTGGCAATAATCTTTTTTTACATCATAAATGTAATGTTCACTGGAAACCCATTAAAATCACGATGATGTGAAAATTGTTTGTTTGTACTAAACAGACAAGTTTTCTTACATCTGGAGAACAAGATTTGTAGGCCGGGGCATCTCTGCAGCACTACAGGACTTTATTTCAATGCAGTTTGTCACACATTTGACCTTTTGCAGCTTTTGTGATTTGCATATTGCAATTTCAATAATATTTCGATTAATTGTGGAACCTTAGTCAAATGTAGTTTTCCGTAGCTCTGTCTCAGTACACATCCATACCAGCATACCAGCAACTCTCAAGCTTGATATTTAAAAAAAATATTGAATGTTATATCTCGTTTATTCATTCTGTCCACTTATCGGCGGTTATGTGTTGGACTATTTCTTGGCCGGGAACAGTAAAACGTTATTGTGCAAGGCCAAGAACTGCCTATAAAATGATGAAATGATGTTTTTTCCAGACTTTATGTTAAGCCAAACTAATTGGCTGCTGCCAAAACGTATTTCCCAAAATGCTGAACCCTGCTTTAAGGAGATGTTGGCTTCAATGCTAATTTAGTTGTTACTCGAGTATATAACATAACATATTTCCTTTCACAGATTTTAGCCAATCCAAAGCATCGATTCAACACAAGCTCAATTTATAAGAACGTGACCCTGGTGGCCTGGGATCCTGCACCTTACACTGTCAACTTACACAAGGTATGTTCTTTTCATCAAATGAGCTCACACAAACCATACAGCCATACATCAATAAGCTCAGCAAGCTAAGCACAGTTTTCACCTCAGTTGTTAAAATAAATACAGTGTTTCCGGTAATGTATACCAATTCAGGGTTGCATGTTTCAGAAATTCCATCTTTTTATTGTGGCTTCCTCTTTCATCCTGTTTTCACCCTCTTTTTTTTGTGCTGTGTTATAATTATTATTCAGGGAATGGTCTACTTCCACAATCAATATGATCCTAGACCGGCTCAGGTTAATAACCTAAAAACAGCACTTTGCAATTAAATTTGATTTGCAAGCTGTGTGTAGCCTCCTCTCGGAATGATTTCAATTATTTGGCCAATTTCTACTATCTTGGATTATCAAAAACATTCTTGTCTGTTAATATTGATTTTCTCTTGCCATTTTTTCACAGGCTAATAATAGAACCACTTGCCCCTCTAAATGAACATTAACTAGTTTTCAGGCTTTAACCCCTGTAGTTCTCTGTGGGGGGGGGTGTTATTGTGAATCCTTGTCACCTCATTCAGTTTACAGACATATGAGACAAAGATACAGAACAATGCTGCAAAATGGAGATGAAACCTTCTTTTTATCATTTCAAATAAAGATTATCATTTATTGTTATGCAGCTGCAGGCTTCTTGTTACTCAATGACAGGCACCCAGAAGATGAACAAAGAAACAGTGACCCCAAAAAGGAGGAGAGTAATGGGATTTTTAAATAGGTCATGATGTGCTTCACAGACACTTGACCTTTTTTTTCTACATCCCTGTTGCCCACAGCTAATGCCAGTAATTAGCTGTAGAAATAGTGTTCCTGGTATATTCTTTCCGGGGTGTAGTGTCTTACAGCCTTGTTGCTTCCATGTAATCTCATTTAAAATGCAACAATAACAACACATTGTGTAACATCTCACTATTTAATAACTCGCAAAATGTAATAAATTACAATAATTGTAAATAAATTATTACATATTGTGATGGCTATTATAAAATGTAGGAGTTGCAATGCAAGAACTGCATTTTGAATAAGCTGAAGCTTTCTGACGAGCCCTGTCAAAAGATCATTGCAGTGGTTGACCAGCTAATCAAGTAATCAATCTTGTTCCTGCTTTTATTTAGACTAATAATCTATACTATAATGTCAAAGGGGGCACCACAGGTCATAGGAGTCTAATTTAATATTTGTGAAGTTTAGGAAGATCATTGGGTGTTTCTGGTTTTTTGAACATCATACACACTTACTCAGGACACCTGGGGTTGATCAGACCTCAAATTCTGCCCTAGCAACTGTTGCCCACGTATCCTCAGCAGACCTCACCATCTCCTGAGGAAGCAGTTGACTCTTCTCTCCAGGTTCCTGATAGTGGACATGGGAAACGCATCGATCATTGCCTGCTTGTCAAGCTGCTCTTGATTGATGTTCCTTTTCTGGGGGTGCTATGAAACATCTTCCCCAAGATCCTTACTAGCTTCTCCGAGATGGTTGGGATCGGCAAGTCTGTGATCGAGAACCCGGAATCTGTCGATCACAATGCCATTCTTGAGCAACAAGGACCTTGATTTCTCTGGCTTGAAAGCCAATCTTGCACATCCCATCATTTCCTCCCGCCCCTTCAGGATCCATCTGGCTCCAGAGACTGACTCAGTTAAGTCATCAATGAATTGAGGGCCTCTGCACTCTGGTACTAGCATATTCATTGCCAGAGAAAACAGGATCACTGAAATGGCTGCGATGATAACCAACTCCAGTCTGTGCTACGCGTTCTGAAAAGTGTGTGTGTGTGTGTGTGTGAGTGTGAGAGTGTGTGAGTGTGAGTGTGAGAGTGTGTGAGTGTGAGTGTGTGAGAGACTGACATCAATAAGTGACACAATATGAATACTACAGTTGTATTCGTTAAATATGTTAGTGTGTTAGGTACTTATATTTCACCAAAGGTCAAAGTGCCCAAAAAGGACCCGTTGACCAGACGTTTTTTTAACACCATCTCGTGGGGTAGTTTTCTCAAATTCATAACAGAGGTGGTGTTCAGTGCCATTCATCATAGACAGAGCTTTTATCTACAGCAGTGTTAGTGTGTCTAGTGATTTGTGTCAGAGCCTTTTCCCCAGCTCTGACAGGCTAGCCTGCTTTCTTTAATTTGCCACAGTCAGGTTGCCATACCAAGTTTTTTTTCTGTATATTTTGATGAATTCCAAAACCCTTTTAATTTCCTGAGATAAAATAGACTGTCTGACTGGCTTCCTTGCATATAAGTCAAACAAAAATGAATCTGTCAAGGAGCCATAAAGCAGCGGCTCAATCATCTGCATAAGAATTTCTTTTGAAATGCTGATTGTGTGCCAAGGACGGACCATTTGTGGGCAAATTCCATCAGAGCCCTTACCTACCTTACCCTGCAGTGCATGTAGACTGCACACACCCTCTCCCAGCACACAGCCAGGGACTATTTTGGTATATTACATTAACTATGTTTTAGTTCTATTTTGTTTGGTGTGTCCCATGTTTATCATCCATTATTTATCTTAAAGGGTAACAACACAAACCATATGTGAATAATTGAAATAAAACATCACCCCACCAACTGTGACAGAATGCTTATGTAGAGCAGAGCCACAGCTACTGTATAACCACACCGCAGGACACAGCACAAAATGGCAATGACAAATATCCTACCTACACGGCAGGCTTTTAATGCTGTTCTTTGAAGTGAAGTCACTGAAGTCAAGGACAACTTCTCAATGTGTTCATATTCATAGGCCATCGTGGCATCTTGCATGTCTGTCATTTGTTTTAAATCTGTAGTATCTGTCATCCATACATGGACAATGTATATCTAATGTCAATGTGTAATTCAGAATATATATAAAATAATGTTTTATTTTTTAGCTCTGAGGAAAGCATGCAGAAGGAGTTTTCTCTCTGTAGCGTGCATCTTTAGCCTCTTTTTTATGCTGCATTCACTTGGAAAACGATAGACGGCAAACCAGGTTTGTTAGTGGATGAAAGCAGGATGGTAAATTTGCAGCCGGCAGAGAAACGGTGGCATTGTCGACCAAAGTTAAAATATTTTAACTTTTTGCTATCCTCCACAAAGGAATTTTAAACTGGATGGTGCGTAGCTGCCTCACACAAGGGGAAAACATGGGCAATATGGACAACGGGACACTAATAATTATATAATTACATGAAACAATAAATAATTCGCATTTTATATAATCACTTTATTTACTATATTTTTCCCTTTGCAAATGATAAATCACCTTAGCAACATATCTTCAAGCATGCTCCTTTGTGCTGTCCTTCCATTCATTTGGGCTGTTTGTTTGTTTTTCCTGCGCTGAGTCTATGTAAATGCAGCATTACATTTACATTTAGCTAACCCACCAGGAGTGTGCTTTTCCATATTAAATTGTTTCAATTGGCTGCAGTTACACCCGTACAAGCAGATAATTGTACTATGTTTATTTACATGTAGTCCTATGTCCATATAAAAAGAGGTCCTATAACAAATATTTTCAGAAAGAAATTTCTGAATGGTTTTAAGACTTTATTTTTATAATAATGTGTCAGCTATCACCAAAAAGTTCTATTACTTTAGTAATTAAAAATTCTTGAAATTACATTTACTCTTTCTCATTAAAAAAATCAAAATCTATACATATGGAAATATTGTTAATTCTAAGTGTCTGGACACAAGATGTCCCTTACTTTACTGGAAGGGTCCATACTCACACTGATGTAGGTTGCATTTTGGACCATGATTGGTTTCCAAGTAGTTTTGATGTCCCTAAATACTGCTCATACATACATACATACACTCTTAAACTCAAATTTAATGTGGGCACAGAGAAACTTTCCCCCTCAGCAGATGAATACAAAAATAGCCTTTAGGGGCCAGCCTCTGCATATACATCATTCTGCACAGTAAAGCTCAAACATCAAAGTGAAGTAACAATAAGTAAAACACATTTTTCATTTCATGGCTACGATATTGATTTCATTTTGCCAACATGTTAATTGACCAGGGTGAAGAAGAGTGTAATGAAACGTGGGTCTCAACCCCCTTTCTTCCTCAGTGGTATGCCAGTCCCGACTACAACCTGTTTGGTCCATACGTGGAGCACCGCAAGCTCCATCCTCACCAGCCCTTCTACATCCTTCACCCCAGCTATGTGTGGAGACTCTGGGATGTGATTCAGGGCAACACTCAGGAGAATATCCAGCCTAATCCTCCCTCGTCTGGATTCATAGGTGAGTACACACACGTTCCTGCCGCTGTGCATTCAGTGTCTGTTCTCTTGCAGTTTCTTCTGTACTCTTATCTCTCAATTTCCTTGCATACTCCTGGAGCAGACACGTGTATAGGGGCAAAGACACACATGATGACATTTTTATCTTCAGCATGCACAGTGACATTATCAACATGCAATACATTCCAAAGCAGCACATCTGCACAGGGGATGGGGGAAATGTAACCACTGCAAGCTCATTGTAGAGACTCTCCAGCATGCAAATATATACTTCATGTCGGTCCCCTACACTATTATTTTCAGACATTTCAATAGGCGTTCCCCTTGCACAGCAGTATGACATAAAACATCCTTTCAAGGCAGGAAAATTTGTTCTCATAGTGATTACTATGTTTGATGCAAATTTTCACTCCCAATATTAATATATCTATATAATAGTTTTACCTTGGAGCATAAGGATGTGAAGACACAACATCATTCAGATTATCTTTAGTTTAGTTTAACAATAGAGTAATGTAAGTCTTTGTGTTTATTTATATGCATCCCTTCACTTGTTGTTGACAATTTACAAATTAGTTATTATACATAATGATCAAATGTATTCTGTATAAAACAAGCTGTCCAATATGTCTAAAAGAGAGAAACTGTACACATTTGCATTTTAGGCCTGTTGTTTGAAGTCATATTCTGTAGCTATATCATTGTACAGCCACCCATAATAAACTGATTTCATCACAGCAATTTATTTAGCTTTATTATCTGAATTTGCCTTCCTGTTTCATAAAATGTTTGTTATTCAGAATAATGAAATCCAGTCATATGGTCAGTTTTTTATGTTTCTGTTGAATCATTAACAAATATGAGACGGTTATGATAAAATTATTTTTACTCATATAAATAGTCTAACTTTGTATCTCTTACTAGTTTTGATTATTGAACAAAATTTGTAATATTGTTACAGTGAGTGACGTGAAGTTCCCAGAAGATTAAAAAAGGTCACTATCTGCATTATTCTTGAAGACAACCATTAAATGTGCGAAATAGAATAAGAAATAATCTAAATACACTTTTAAATAAAATGGTTTTACATTAACATTTTTAAAAACGTTTTAAAAAGGCAGCATGGCTTTAAATTGAAGAAAAGGTGGCCTGTCTTTTCTTCCAAACAGTCATTATTTCCCACTAAATTCATTTGGCAGATGACAGGTTGGCGATGACCACTTTTCTTTGGATACCATGGCTACGTGGTAAATAGAGGTTGCTGTGTAATTTGTTATGTCTTTTGAAGGAAATGCAGTCAGTACGGCTTTGAGGGAGGAGATGCACTATTAGTACAGATTCCATGGTGGGGTTTTTCTTCTTCTCACAGAGGACGTTCTGGGACTATCACATATCAAGCTTTGACTTCTAAAACACAATCGTCTGACTTAAAAGAGATTAAAATGTGAGACTAGTCTTTATGTTACATTTTTATGTCGATGTGCAGTCAATGGTGTAAGGGTGCTCTGATCAATGCAGCCTTTTCAATACGTTCAAAAGCAAATGGATGAATTAGTTGCCCAGTTCTATAACACAAGGTTTTCAAACATCTCTTGAATTAATTGTTGCCAAAGTCCAAATCTCAAACTGTCTCTACTGCTCTTTTTCAGCATCACTGAAAAGGCGGACATGTGTGGCACGTTCATGCTGTTAATCATTAGAAAGGAGTCAGAAATCCATAGTAATGTAGCATCAGAGCCTCACACATCACTTTGAGCAATTTGCCCTTTTCTGAGAGTTAATTTGGTTTGTATATCATTCTCACAAAAACCTCCATTCTCTTTTGAAATACAGAAATGCAATGATTCTCTTCCACAGCAATGATATTTATTAAAACAGTTAAAACCAACAATCAAATGCACATTCACATTCACAGCTGGAACTGACTGAAGGCAGTTTCCGGGCCAGGCTCATTTTGGCCTCTCATCATCAGGGTCTCATCAGCACCCCGCAGTGAGAAGGTCAGCCATTGCTGTTTCGGAGAAAAGTAGCGGCATCTTGAGTCTTGAAGTCCTGTCCGCATCAAATGTGCTTCATATCTTCATGATGCTCTGTGAACATTTCACTCAGGGCCAATACATTTCACCAGTTTGTGTCAGTTTGTGGGTGAAGAGACCATTAAACCATTAAATATCTTAAAATTATCTCTAAGTGTGTTGCATCACAGCCATGTGCTTAGGCGTGGTACGAGTTCCCATCACCCGTCACATTCTTGAAACTCCATTACTCTTAAGCTGATCATGCTGTATATATCTGTATATATTATTTTCTTCTATCAGACTGGCCTCTCCCTGCCTGGCATGGGAAACTAAAAACAGGTGAAATATGACCCGTTTGTCATCCCATATCTCCTTCCTTTTACCCATCCATGGCCATAATTATCATTGTCATTTTAAGGCCAAAAGCTCCAGAGCTCTCACTTTTACATTACAGATGTGACCATTCACTCCTAGAGAGGGTGAAGCTCTTTAATTCAATACGGGTGTAAATTATTGTCTCTTATTGATACATTTTAAATTTAATGCACAAAGAAACATGCAACAAAACCATACAATAACACAGACATAAAAATACATAAAATAAACTCATACCATGCAGACGTAAATTATAACATTTTAAATATATACACGTTGAAAGTTAGGTTCAGGATGAGGTCTTTTCTTTTAAGAGTCTGCAACATTTACAGTCTGAGCGGTGCAGAGTCTGGAGAAAGGAGGAGGAAAAGACGACAGTTAAATGATGAATATATCAATCCACTAGGACACTGATTGAAGAAGCACAAATCTATGATTGACTATCCTTGACATCTACAGCAGTACAATGACAAACTGACTGAACAGCAGCAGAGAATAGGCCCCAGATTGTTGAAAAGATGGTTGAAAGAAGACAAACTGAATCAGGATATCAAAAAGGAATTCAGCCAACATAAAATATATGTTTTAGAAGTTACGAGTAACAAGTTCACATTGTAAGGAAAAAAACCACACAAATGTTACCATTCTAAAAGTGTGAACCTTGGTTTGGAAATCTTTAAGAAACGATAGTTTTAACAAACTACAAAATTCTCAGTATTTCTACATATTTGTAGACATCATTTTCCAAAACATTTACACCCTGATTCCAATTTAATTAAGAGAAAATGTGCTTTGTATATGATAACATTGACATTTACAATTTCTGAACCTCTGAATATCAACTATTACAATTTGTAACTGACCAATAAATATTGAAAGAAAAGTATTTCCTGGACATATAGACATATAAAACGTCTGTTAAGTGGTCTATATGGCCAAAAGTACATGTCCAAATACTGTTGTGCACTTCTGGGGCTGGTTTTATGGTTTGTGCTCCTTGGTTCCAATTAGGGGAAATCTTATCGTATAACATACAGTAATACTTCAAAAATTCAATAAAGAAATGTGTTTGTTTGTTTTTTTTTAGAGTGTGTTGTAGAAGAGCTTGACTGGCTTGCAGAGAGCCGTGACCTCAACCCTTTAAATTCATTTTGGGATAAATTGGAAACCAACTACAAGCCAGGCTTTATCACCCGACATCAGTGCCCGACCTCAAATTGTGGTTGAATGGGAGCAAATATCTGCAGCCAGTTTCCAAAATCTTGTAGGAATGAGATGTTCACCACATATGGATTTAATGTTTATGTGTCTGCATACCTAGGCCATATAGCGTATATAAAATAAACACTCAATGGACACACAAAGTGATTCCTTTCTGTACAAACACAAGCTTACACATTAAAAACATTTACTTTCTAAATGTATCATGCTTTAGTCCACATTCCACAGTAGTTGACACTGAGTGTGTAGCTGTCACGCTGAGCCACTGCCGTTTCATTATGACTGTATTTCCTATCTGGTCATGTTGATGATATTCAGGCTCAGGTAGTGACCTCTGGGGGTGTTGTGTGCTTGGATGCTGGGGTGCTGGCGCACTGGTTGAGAGCATCAGTGGAGGTCTGGGCAGTGCAGGCCACCGTGTTGCTGTAGACTCTGCGGTTTAGCTGGATTACCGTGGTCTTGGAGGTCATCGAGGGGATGCCGCTCTCTGCTGACCAGTGATCACAGTGAAAGAGAATCAGGAAACACCTGTAGAACTGAGGAAGAAGCGGAAAGAAAGTTGATGTGAACGCAACGTCTCAAAATGAGAGTTCTTAAAATCATCAAATGTGGACTGAGCTTTGTTTGACCCTCTCAGAGAGACTGGTTGGTCAAAGTTTTATTGGGCAGAAATCATGCCATAGTGCACTTTCATGTCCTCACAGTCAACAGGTAATGCTACTTGAGAGGAGCAAATAGTCCCTAAATGGTGTTGCACTGGCAGAGAAGGTGGCATCTAACACTTACAGTAGTGGTTAATTTGACCGTAGAGGTCATTTAACACATTACTGAGAAAGATCTCTATGCAGCTCTCTGAAGTGCTTGCTCTTCTTTATTTATTTATCCATGTTTCCTGAATATTGCAACAAAGTGTGTCATGATGCAATCTGTTTTTTTCTCTTGTTAACCTTTTGCTTAAGAGTTCATTTGTACAACTTAAGGCAGGTCTTTCTCTCAACACAGTGCGTACACATTGATAAGACTCATTAGTGTGAAGACAAATGCAGTAAATTAAATTGATGAGCACAATAGTGCTAAAATAATGGTCTTGATGCCATTATTTTAGCACTATTGTGCTCATTCTGAAGGCTTATCTACACTTGCAATTATCATCATCATCATCATCAACATCAAATTTACTTAAAAGTTCAGACATGCCTAATTAGAGAGTCATTTTCCTGTTAAAACATGAAACCTTTGAGCCGGTGAGATTTTATTTCCAATTGATCTGTATGTTGATAATCATGAGGAAATTGGTTCAGGAAAGGGCAAAATACATGTGATGATGTCTGGATCCCATACAGAGCCAACTGACTTACAAACACAACTTCAGCACATGCTAACATAACAAGCTTACACATTCTGCAGATGGGATTTAGCTTGGTTATCTGTAGTGATTGTAATCATACTGGAGGGCAGCCGCACAGAGAAGAGTCGCCATCAGAATAACAATCGTCAGATAAAAAATGCTAGAAATCGGCAGAATAGTATGTAGTGAGGAAGGTGAAATGGAAAATAACAAAAGGTAAGTAAATGTATGCAGGAGTTGACCGCTCTCTGTGTTGTCAACCACAGTGTATTTAAGACACCATGTAGAGTATGCTGAGGCGGGCAAACTCACCACTTCATATATTATGTATTGGATTCTATTTTTATCTTTATGTAAAGGAGGGTTTTTCTGAGCATGCATGCTCTTTTTCAGCACAACTGAACTTCACATGAACACTTAAAAATCATATTTGCACCTGAGAACGGCCCAGTGTAGCTGCAGTCACCCACTTTTGACACTGCGCAGATCCAGTAGAGATATTCTGATAAACGCTTTTCCCGCAGACGCTGAGGAAGATTATCACACCTTTACTTTCCCTACTGGGATATAGTGAGTGAAACTGAGAATGCATTTTAGTATCAGTGGATATTAAAACCAGTCTATATGGGGACTGGTAAGGTACATGTCCACATCCACTGATGTAAACTGAGAAATGGATGGTAATCTGACTGAATTCCTTTTTTGTTCAACTTCATTAAACCTGACATAGTGTGCATGTTAGCCAATTTCTTATCGGGAGGGGGGTTATTTTTTTTTACGTTGTTCAAAGAAATATGTTAATTTCAGTTGTTTTTATAAATTGACTTGCAACAATCTCACACATTGTTGCTATATTTCCGTCACTATTTTAGGAACGTATCATTCATATTGAACGGGCAGATGTGAGAATGGTATCGATCTCCTCCTTATCTAACTCGTGGCAAAAGAAAGCAACTAAGCGCATTTTCCCAATATGTTAAGCTGCTCCGTTAACCCTCAATTCCAGTATAGCTGCTCAGCGGCCAGCAGATCACACTGGTTGGACTTGGCAGCTTTAACATGTGTGACTGTGTGAATGTAAACCAAGAGTTCCTGAAACGAGAGCGCTGCTCTTTGCTAAACGGGTTTTAAAGTACGTCAGAAAATATTCTTGAATATGACAACCTGATTCTTTCTCTCTGTCTGTTGCCATTGCAGGCATCCTCCTGATGATGGCGCTATGCGAACAGGTGCATGTGTACGAGTACATTCCCTCCATGAGGCAGACGGACCTGTGTCACTACCATGAGCGTTACTATGATGCTGCCTGTACACTGGGTGCCTACCATCCACTCCTGTATGAGAAGAGCCTGATCCAGCGGATCAACACAGGGCCCGAGAGTGACCTCAGGAGGAAGGGGCGGGTTACTCTTCCAGGCTTAAGCACCGTCAACTGTGACATCTGAGATATGAAACCTAACCCTCTGAGCCCAAACATACACACACACTCTAGCCTTTTCTGGCTGACTAAGGGAGAGGTGCAATAAAGCCACTGGAGACAAGGAGGCTGGAGCGTCGAAGTTTCAAATTAGACCCATCAAGAACATAAGCCATAGCCCTCCAGGGAGGGATCAACGTGGAGGCTTCTGAAAGAACTTGTCTTCATTAAGATGGTTTACTAGACCAGAGACTGGCAGGAAGAGTCTCCAAGACGGAGCTGAAAAAGACATTTTTCTCTGCTTTAGCTGAGCCACGTTAGCTGTGGGGCTGACTAGGGTAGCAACAGATTAGTGTTTTTAGATAGACAAGTGAATTTTCAATAACTGGGTGTGTTTCAATGGTGTAATATGTGTTTTACAATAAGATGGGTGGTTCTCCACTTAAAAAGGAAATGCCACTGTTTATAACGGTGGATATTTGTGATTTTGTTTTTCTTTTTTCTTTTTTACTGGTCCAAAGGGTTGAGAATAAGCAAAGAAGTCATCCACGCTGAATGTCATAAATGCAACATACACTCAGAAATATACACGCACTCACACAAACATGCACTACTGTACTGTACACTGTCATCGCTCTGCAGCAGGTTTTCCAGTTTGACATTCCTCTGATATCATCTTGTGAAATCAGAAGTTGTGTTTACGTGTTGTCATGAGGGGTTGATTTCACAGGGCAGATTGTTTTTAAGCTTAATTACAAATTAGTCTCCTGTGCATGCCAATTTGCCAGCTCACAACCACCAGTTATCACTCCTTGTTCACACGTGTAGGATCATTTCCTCATTCAGTGTCAGTTTGTTGCCCACGGGACGCCCAAGGCACTGGTTGTCCTGTTTTGGTTACCCTACCTATAGTAACTTTTTTTTACTGTCAGTGTAATTAAACTAAAGTTAATGGGGCCAAAATGGATCTTGAGAACAAACCGGTGCTCAGAACAGCCGTAACCCTGTGCCTAGTGGTCAGCTGAACACTTTCCTTGGGTTGCCTTGTGACTGTTCAGATACATGCAGTACATACTGTGGCAGGACTGCAGTAACGTGGAGTTTAATTGCAGTGAGTGGTCCGGAGCAGTTGATATTGCTGAAGTGAGCTGTATCAGGGGATTTGTAGCTCTGCACACAGCAATCACCAGCCCCTGTTTTTTTGACAGTTCACTCTTTATTGAATGTAATTTTACCATTGCGTCTAATGGCCAAACCCTCCCTGGTGGTCACCGCTGCAGTATGGTATTCTTTGTCTATGTCACGTAAGCGCATGAAGCTCATTTCCTAAAACGATTAATGTGTCATATTGGTCTGTATCTGTCTGCAGCTCAGAGTGGAGACAATTATAAGAGAAAGAATTTGAACTGGTAATATCATCAGATTTGCGTTTTCTCCGGATAGGATGATTTTTATGTTTACAGTCAGTCAGTGCCACATCTGCAGCAAGTTCTAGAGGTAGCTTGAAGAGGAGGGTTGGTTGTGGTTGGTTGTTTTTGCTGCAGATTTTCAGTCAGATAAATCTTGCCTATAATAGATTTCTTTTGCTAAGTGTACTATTATACAAAATGTTCTTGTGCCATTGGTTGTGGTTTGTAATAAGATGTGAAAACTTGTCTCAGAAATGTTACATTGAATAGTCTGATGTATGTTGAATTAGATGGCTCTGTAGAAGTAGTATGTAGATGATTCTGGGGCTTAGCATTACTTGTTGAGTAGGGCTGGGTATCATCCAAAATGTGTCAGTGCAATTACAAATGTGTACTGGGCTGATACCGACACAACACATTTTTTGAAAACCTTTTTTTCTACCAAAAAGAACCTTTTTTATACCTGATCGAAGGAAAGAAACAAGCATCCGACAAAGTATTTGGTGCCACTTTTCAATACTTGACTTGAAAAATCTATTATGGTATTTTATATTGCAACATTGACTTACTGTTTATTATGATAAAGTAAATCTAATACACCAGCCCTGCAGTAAATTCATTAAAATAAATGGGAGTGGAAAAACACTGCAGCCTCCAAAATGATCATACAGTTTCATCAAAATCAGAACATTATAACCTTCGTTAAGGTAGGATTTATTGTAGGGCTTTTGCATTAGACTGCATTACTTTGAGTTAGGTGCTGCTAATAAATTGGCGACTGAGTGTATGTATAGATGAAATAACCAGATCAGACTAAACATCATGACTAATTCAGTGAATTACACACATGACAAAGGTATTTCATCACATTGATGCAAAATCCTGTGAATCTAATAATGCCATAAAGCAGTTCTCCTCATTGATTTGCAGCTGCCTCGGCACAAATTGTATTGAAATATTTCTGACAGTTGACAAATGGTCTCATGTTGTATATAAGGTCGTATCGCCCAACCCTTCTTGGCGGTCTTTGATAATTGATGCTATGGACGTATTTTGCTTGGATGCAAAAAAGTATTGAGGTTTGATACCCAGCCCCAGTTTTAGGTTGATGGTTTGGCATGTGATTAGAATATCTTTGGACCAAGAAACCCAGTTAAGTCAGTAACTGTTAGAGGACTGTAATAGACTGAAGAAAACATTTTTGAAGCTGGAGGAGATTTACCGTTCATTTTGAATCATGCAGTTTCTCGGCTCTGCTGTAGTTTTTACATTTCTCTGTTGAGATAAATGATCAATTGTTTTATTGCTTGTGATTGTAACACACTGAAGGTGCAGAAAACCTGAACATATTGTACATGTATATTTCTAATAACTTTGATTACTTTCCAATGCACAGAGCATGCAAATCAGGATCAGGGCCGAGAGTCTTAAACTGTCTGTGCTGTACTGTGCTGCAAGTAGACACCATTGTCATTAATGTTGTGAGAGGCTATGAGATTTTTTATTTTTAAAGTGGTGTTTTGGAGATTTTAGTGCATGCTTGTGAACAGGGAAATCACGTCCAGCTGCGGTGCAGCTATTAGCAGTTCCCTGGGAGCACTTTATTAAGTGCAATGCCTTCTGGTAACTTCATGTTTGCATCTTAATATTGTGCCAAATTCCATTTTTAGTTATGTCTCAGCAGGGTGGCGATGGGTGCGATGTGGTCTCAAGAGTAATAGCAGGATTTCCAAGGTGCTATTGCTTCTCTCCGGGATGCTTAATGAGTAACATAATTCAATTTTGAAGTCTATTAAAAACAAAAATTCTATTGCCAGTTTAAAAATTTTAATGCCTGACCAGTGGTGAAGTGGTGAGAAGAGAAAACATTTGTAGGCACTACATTTTGCCCTTTCGAGTCTCTTGATCTCCACTCTTTACTCTCAAGGCCTGTTTTTCATATCTTGTTTTTACTCAAAATTGTGGGAATAGCTGCACCACACTGCCTCTAAAGGATTGTTCAACATTTAAGTTTTACATTCCCCTCCTGCAGATTCCTGCAGTATTTCTGAAAAGAGGAAGAGCAAAAGAAGCATCCATGACGGACAAAGAGCGAAAGTCCTGTTTCACTTTGAACAGCCTTAGGGTGTCGACTTTGATTTATCAGTGAATTCTCTTCTTTTTAAACTTGAATTGATATTTAAATAGACCATTTGTATGATTTCAGCTGTTGTAATCTGTCTTTTTTTACTGTGTAAATAAAGCTGTTATACATGTCAGATTGTGCTTGATTTTTTTAAATCGATGAGTTTGAGTCAATCACACACATGTTGCTGACTCACCTGTTTGTTCATTAGTATATAGATCAGAGGGTTGATGACCGTGCTGCTCTTGGCCAGTAGTGAGGGCACCACGCTGGCCACAGGACTAATGATGTTGGGAGGGCCGAATGTTGCCATCATGGCCACGACACCGTAAGGCATCCAGCACAACATGTAGCAGGCCGCTGTGGTCAAAACCATGAAAAGTATGTGGTACTCTCTCCTTCGGGCTGCAGTTTTTCGGATCTTACCCACCTGTGGATGAGAGTCGGTATGAAAATCAACCTTGAAAACTTTTCAATTCAATTTTATTTGAAAAAGGCAAAATAATAACAGAAGCAATCTCACACAGAGCACATCTAGACCGTACTCCATATATAAGACTGCACTCCTTATGACTTCAAAAATTCTGTGCATGCCAATTTGCCAGCTCACAACCACCAGTTATCACTCCTTGTTCACATGTGTAAGACCATTTCCTCATTCAGTGTCAGTTTGTAGCCCACGGGACGCCCAAGGTACTGGCTGTCCTGTTTTGGTTACCCTACCTATAGTAACTTTTTTTTTTTTGTGTAGTTAAAAAAGCGTCAGTTAAGGGCACTAAGTCAGGCTTAATGGGGCGCAAAAGCTGGATCTTAGAGAACAAACTGGTAAAACCACCCTTGATACCATAACAGTCAGCTACAGATCACCTGATTTCCTCAAGCACCAATTGGCAAACATCATGCCCTTTTTCTCTTTACCTCCTGCCTAGTGGTCAGCTGACCTACAACTTTTGCCCCTCCACAGGTCCTCCTTTTTATGTTGTTTCTAATTAATCAATGTCATTTTCTGATTGAAAGATGCTTCTATGTTCTGTACCCTGCTGCCGCTCTCCTTGTCTTAAGGTTTTCCAAATAAAACACAGGAAAAAAAAAGGAGGTCCCAGAACAAAGCCATACCCCCAAATGTAATTTTATTTGGAATATAAGATGTTTTGACGAAAGTGGTCCTGACTGAACTAAAGTTAATGGGGCCAAAATGGATCTTGAGAACAAACTGGTGCTCAGAACAGCCGTAACCCTGTGCCTAGTGGTCAGCTGAACACTTTCCTCGGGTGTGAAAATCAACCTTGAAAACTTTTCAATTCAATTTTATTTGAATAAGGCGAAATTATAACAGAAGCAATCTCACACAGAGCACATCTAGACCATACTCCATATATAAGACTGCACTCCTTATAACTTCAAAAATGTTTACAAAGGCTCAAACTTTACTTGTTTGTGCATTCAAGGACGCTCACATTAATGATGCACTGCAAGCTACGTTGCCAAACCTAAAGACAGCTCTAATAAATGTGTCATCTGTGTTTCAGGGAATACACCAGTAATTATAGTTGTTGTCCCTGCTTTACTTCACTGCTCTATCGTGCAACAATAGCAAAAGTGAAGGGAAAAAAAGGTAATTACTTCTTTATCGAGATTTACTTCTCTCAAACAAATGGAGTCTGTCTGTATTTTGATACCATGAGGAAATTGGAAAACATCAGCTTCCCAGATGATAGAAAATTAACTGTATCAGCTGTTTAGTTGCACACTGCTGTAGTACCTTCTTCCCATTCTTTTATTCCACAGGCATGTTAAATGTTTAAATGGTGTTCCTCTAATAGGGAGGAAGAGAGTTCATGGATTTGTGTCGGTGCCTCCTATGCTTGAAAAAGCATATACTATATGATAAAAAAGCATATTATAGTAACTATACTGTAATCTTAAATCCACCCAGTTTGTAGGTTTAGTATAGAGTAACATGGTTAAAGTTTAGGTTCATTTTTTTCTGTCATCTGAATAAGAACAACAGCAGTCTATGCAGTTACATTCTTACCATCCATATGAACATTTAATTCAAACTCATCCTAAATCAAAAGTATAACCAGTATTTCTGGAGTAATTCCTCTTGACTTTGTGTTCATTCATCATGAGAATACAATAAGCTACAACAATAAAGGCATTCAAATTAGATTTTGCCCCTCTGGAAAACTACATAAAAATAAATGATCATCCTGACTTCATATTGTACTTTACTAATGCAAATTCCATAACAAATATCAAATTAATTGAATTCCCAAAACCTCCTGGGTGTTCAATAAAAGACAGAGATCACAGTGTAAAATATATATTCTTTACACAATCTTATTCATCTGTGAATATATCTACTGCTTGTCTCTTGATACACATTTCAAACAGGATTCATCTAGTTGTATCTTAATCCTAATCCAATAAAAATGATTTTAACATCATTCTTTGGATCTCTTTAAACACAGATTGCTTTTCTGTAGTCTATGCCCTTCCTTCACCCTTCTGATATGTGGATGAATTCAAACTAGTTGGAGAGAAATCAGGGAGTTTTCCTAGATCACTGTACAACACATTCAAATTCTCCACAGAGCCCACTGAGCCCAGGACTTTCTCACAACTTTGACACTCCTGCACGATTAATGCAAATGACCCCAAGTTTTAATGACCATTTAAGATTTAAGTGGCCTAAAGCCAACTGGAGCTCAGCTCTGCTCACAGATATAAGTAATTACTCATACAGTCTACTGCACTACTATTTAATAAGGATGTTGAACCCTTAATCTCACCCTTTCTCTTGAAACACAAATGCCTGGTTTGAATGTGATAATTTTCCTGTCACCTTTGTTCACTTCAACAGCTGATGATCACCATAGATTTGGTGGGATTCATTCGTGCTCGCAGTCAGTGACTCAGTGACCAGCTTTCATGGCAACCAGCTAGTAACACCCTCATTATATTCATACAGTTCACACAGATGCCTTTATAATCTGATTCTACTGATGTCCCATTTGCTTCTGCATCTCTGTCCACCACCCCAACCTGCTCTGTATGTGTGTGGGCTTTTGGTGTTGTTGACTTTACTAAGACCCACTGTTCATGTGTGTATTTGCTACGGGGGGATTAGTTGTACCAGCAGTATCATCGTTGCTGCTGGGATCCTTCAAAAGCTCCCTCAACAAGCAAAACCTTTTTCGGCTAAATCAAACTGTGAAACCATTTGCTATAAATCCCTTGACGTAGGTGGTTTTGACTGAACGAGATGAACAGAGCTAATGTCTGACACAATGCTTTTCAAATTCTCACTAAAACAATCTACACCCCATTACACTATTCTTCATGTGATGTTAGTTCTTATTGTTGCTGCTGCAACTGTCACCCTCTGGCACACTGGTCATTATTATTACCTAGCATGAGTCAAATTGACTTCCACCAACACATGCCGCAACAAACTGGAGAGTTAAAGCATTAATAATCAACAAAAAAAGGACATCTTATACCGGAAACACTGCAACTTACTTACTTACTGATGTCTACTGTATACAGAATGCATTGTAGTCTCAAATGTGGTATGTCTGAATTACTTTTAACGTCTACTTGGATTATTGGGACATTCACATATTTTTAATTGATGCATTTATTTTTTATCTTGTATAAAGAAACTGCTTTCTGTCTTGTGTGTTTTGTGATCAGGTCTGTTTAGTTTGAATGGACAGCAGTGCAGATCTGGCTTCTTGACGTAATCAGAAGATAAAACCATTTTTAAAAAAGCAGCAGCAGGTTGTTTCACAAGCCACAAAACACTGCCAGTGTGTGGCGGTCCATTTATGAATAGTTTATGAATAGATTGCTAAATGACGCATATCCAGTTTCCTCTCAATGCGTCTCAGCCTTTCACTGATTCTTTTGCCTATTGAGAATAATTGTGCCATTTTAGGTTACTAATATGCAACATGAAACCTTTCAAGACTATGGGAGGTTTTAAATTGGCAAAGTATCATTGTACAACACAGAATTTTAAGCACCATGTCATTGTGGACTTGCATGAAGATGAGGGCTGATGTCCTGAAGCCAGAGACGGGGACTCGAATCTGAGACTTATACTCGAGTTGCGCTTAATTTGCACAGTGACTCGAGATTTGACTTGAGACTTGACTCAGACTTGTTCACAGTCTTTATTTTATGTTTTTAACAATTAACAATAAGGAAATGTCTCACACGCTGAAATCCATTCCCTCTCTTACTAACATGCGTAACCATATGCTGGTGCGTGTGGCCACAGCTAGCTTCAGTAAAGCTGAAGCAACAACACCATGGCGAGCACACCTGCAGCTGCTGAACCATTTGTCATAACCTTTGCCTGTAATAACTTCACACAAGGCCCAAACAAATGAAATGCCAAAAATGACTTGTGAGCATCTCTTCCAGGAGCAGGGCCTGAGTTACTATGCTCACGAAAAGCTTCAAGTTTTCCTAGATGCACAAGTGAATGAGATCAGTGATTCCTTAATAGGAATTTCACAGGGATATTTTATGCACTGAAGAATAAGGCTTTATCAAGTTATTTGATAATTATTCTCATCCTTTAAAGCAGCTATCTACTACTGCCTGCCTGCCTATATTATTTTGCTTCAAACGGTTCTTCCACAGAGGATGCATAGCAGTGCGTGACAGCTGCTTCGCTGAACTGCTGCAGCTCACACGCCAGAGGTGACCACACGGAGAGCATTTCTGCTGCGGAGCTGCTTCTGCCTGCCCTATCTTTCTACACTGAGTTTGCCTTGATAAATACAATACAATAAAAGCCCTGTTAACATATTCTTTCCACAGAAAGACGAGAGAGCTTTTAATCTCAAACAAATACAGGAGTGTTGAGTGTAAAAAATACATTTATATATTTTTTTCATGTGACATATTCTACAGATAGACATTGAAACCGTCGTGAAAGGTCTGTGTAACGTTACCTCGGTATGCGAATGCACACTGGGAATGGCATTGCCATCACTGGATGAATACCCTGTCAGTCAAGCTTCTTGCAATGCTACCTGATGGTCTATGGATCAGATCAGATCATCATCATCATCATCATCATCATGCCTGCACCAGGAGTCATCACTTTTGGATTCAAGAAAAAAGGTGACCTGCTGAACTCAAGACCTTTAGATTTCTGAAAGCCAGATCATCAAACTTATCATTGTAAGAGTCATTCAACACATTAACATAAGAACTTTAAATGACTCGGGACTTGCTTGAGACCAAGTGACAAGCTATGGTCTTGCCTGTTTCGTTTTGCCGTCCTTCCATTCTGCCCGAAGCTTTGTTTGTGAATGCAGCATTACTGTGCTAAATGAGAGTGGTGTCCATTTTTTTTAAGGACTGAAAAGGTGGTTCAAATAGTGACTGAACAAATGTAATGAAACTAAACTGAAGCCAATTCAGCTAATGTAGCACACAGAGGTAATTATAGGTGAAGGGCATTTTATGAAAGCTGCTTATTGATACATGAAGGTCATTACAAACAGAGAATATGATTTATTTAGGAAAGAGCCATCCAGAGATTGATTGTTGTCTTTCTCTGTTTGTGTACTGTGCAGTCGTCTTCTAATAATTCTTATTTTGGCTTTACACTTATAAAACTGAGGTCCTAAGCACTTTACAAAAACATTGGATTAAAATGACTAAAGGAACAAGAGTGGATTTAGGCTTATCCAGCAGCTGATCTTTCTGAGCTGTGCTCTGCTCTCAGGATTAAACAATCTAACTCACTGGAAGGGCAAAAGAATTAACTTAAAGCAAGTAAAGTCTCTCTACAAAACTCAATTGCAGGGACTGGTACACTGCTATGACCCCCCACCAAAAAGGAAAAAGAAAAGAAATGTTTTGTTTTCGGAAATCCAACAATCCAATCACACCCTTGGATTCTTATATTCAGCAGCTGGAAATATTACATTACTTTGATTTTAATTGTTGCAAGTCTGAATTTTAAGGGAGAAAGGACACAAGTTCCAAGTTTGTGAGGAGTAGCAGAAAAGTAATATAATAATAATAATAATAATAATAATAATAATAATAATAATAATAATAATAATTATAATAATAATTATAATAATAATAATAAATTGTATTTGTTGGTGCCTTTCACAACACCCAAGGTCACCTTACAGGTAAAAAAAAAGAAAAGAAAGAAAAATAGGCATAAAATACACAGCACTGTAAATACATATAAAATACATGTAAAATTACAAAGAAAATACAGTGTAGCTAAATAAATAAATCAAACAGCCAGAGTATTTATAGCAAATAAGACTTTTTTGAAAAAGGTGTGTTTTGAGTTGAGAAAGTGTCAATGGAGTCCAGAGAGCGGATGTGTAGTGGAAGTGAGTTCCAGAGTCTAGGTGCAGAGCAGCTAAAAGCCCGAGCACCCATTGAGGTAAGTGAGAAGGAAGGGGTGGAAAGCAGGGCGGTTGATGAGGAACGGAGTGAACGGGATGGGATATATGGCTGTAGCATACTGGAGAGATATGGGGGGGCCTGGTTATGGAGAGCTTTGAATGTTAACAGTAGGAGTTTGTATTGTATCCGTTGTTGGACAGGGAGCCAGTGGAGGTGAATGTGCACTGGTGTGATGTGATGACGTGTTTGTAGACGGTGAATGAGTTTTTGTGGTAGACCAATAAGGAGGGAGTTACAGTTACAGTCCAGGCGAGAAGTGACCAGGGCATTTATGAGGACTTCAGTGGAGTGCTGGGTGAGGGAGGGGCGAAGTCTGGAGATGTTGCGGAGATGGAAAATGGATGTACGTGAGATGTTGTTGATGTGGGATGTGAGTGAGAGAGTACTGTCCAAGATGACGCCAAGACTTTTAACTTCGGTTGAAGTGGGGACAGCCATCGGTGAGAATACTGAGGGGATGGGATATGGAGAGTGATGATTTGGATCAGATGAGAAGAACTTCACTTTTATTGCCATTGAGTTTGAGCTTGTTGTTTGACATCCAGTTTGTAATGGTTTCCAGGCAGTCTGTGAGGGCAGTAGGGGGCGATGCAGTGTCTGGTTTGGTGGGGATGTAGATTTGGGTGTCGTCAGCATAACAGTGGAAGAGAATACCAAAATGACAGAAAATATTGCCGAGAGGGAGGATATAGATGATGAAAAGTAGGGGACCCAGAACAGAACCTTGTGGTACACCGTGAGTGAGTGGTGAGGATGGTGATCTGGTATTTTCTCCTTGGATGAACTGGGAACGGTCAGATATGTAGGAATGGAACCACTGGAGAGGGATGCCAGAGACCCCAGTGCCGGCCAAACGATCTAGGAGGATGGCATGAGATATTGTGTCGAAGGCGGCACTGAGGTCTAGGCGTATGAGGATGGTGAGAAGGCCAGAATCCACTGCTAAAAGAAGGTCATTTGTTATTTGAATGAGAGCTGTTTCTGTACTGTGGTTAGGATGGAAACCAGACTGGAAAGGCTCAAAGAGGTTATTTTTTGATAGATGATCTTGAAGTTGGCAGGCTACTGTACGTTCTATAACTTTTGAGATGAATGATAGGTTTGAAATAGGGCGATAGTTATTGAGTTTGTTTGGGTCCAGGCCAGGTTTCTTTAATATGGGTGTGACTGAAGCAGTTTTGAGCAGGGAGGGAACAGTACCAGTTGACAGGGAAGAGTGAACAATTTGTGTAATGAGAGGGGAAAGTGTAGGGAGACTTGACCAGTGTGGTGGAAATTGGGTCGAGTAGACAAATAGTAGACCGGGAAGACATGATCAATTGGGATATCTGTTGATTCGAGGGAAGATGAAAAGCAGATAGGCTACTGGTGGGCTGGAGTGTTTAACTGAGAGGGCGGGGAAGGGGTGAGATGGTGGTGTATGTAGTAAACTTTGTGATTTATGAAGTCCAAGAATTGTTGACACTGAATATAACTAGTAGTGTCACTAATTATTGTTGGCAGGGAGTAATAAGTAATAACATTACTTTTGAAAAGAGCAATGAGTAATCCATACCTACAACTAGCCCAACAATGACTACGTTTTCATTAGTGTATAATCACCTGAATATAGGAATCGTTATGTTTTCATTACTTTAGAATGAGTCGTTTTTTTTCTACAGACACTGTGGGTCATCTTCTGTGGAGGCCGACATGTTGAACCACCATGTTTCCTCCGAAGGCCCGTTCTCATTCCCAGGTCATCAAATACAGACGACAGTGGGGTTCAATTAGTTGCAATCTGCATCTTCACTGCTAGATGCCACTAAATCCTACACACTGTTCCTTTAAGTGCATGACAGGGATTGGTGAAAAGATGTCTAAAAGTCAGACTCTATAATCTCTTACTGTCCCTGGAGCTGGGTCCAGTTACATTGTGAAGATAAAAATCCATCTGTTGTGCTCAGGGCAGTCCCTGAGTTATTTTGTTGGGAAGTAATGGATGTTACTACTTTAATTTATTTGAAAGATAAGAAAGATAGAGCTGTAGGAGCAGATCTTCACCCATTTCCAAAACGCATGGAGAAAAAATCTCAGCAACACTTGTAGTTTAAAGAACAACTGACACATTTTGGCTCACAATCCTAAGAAAAGGGATTAGTTATGTTTCTTTAGTTTTTAATCAAAGCTGGACATGCTGGAAATACTGATACTGCAGCTCACCAGCAAGTTCATAAACATTTGTGTGTCTGTGAACATGACTGACATCTTGCCTTTCAGCTGCACTGCACTCTGGTCTACTAGCTGAGTGGAAGAAAGGTAGCTGTAGCATGTCTGTGATATATATTTCCTTGATTTATGGGCTGTCACCCAAACCTGACATTTACTGTTGATGTGTTTAGATTGCAGAAACTTTATTGTTTTAGCTGTGCTGAAATTTATTTGATGTCACATTATTACATCATGTCATCTGTCACCCTCACTCATATCTCTGAGATGGATGTGGAGCTTGTGATTGACACTGAGCCATGTGAGCCATTCACTATTCCCGTGTAACACCACATGGGTCAAACTTCAAAGCCAATTGTCCACCTGAATGGTGGACAGGCCGAAACTCTTCAGATTTATCAGCTGTGTTGTCAGCTATGCAATCAAACCGAATGAATGGGGCACAATTTTGGGATATATCACTAGAAAGAGACACACCTGCCAGATGCCAAGAGGGCTGGCTTGGTAAAAACTTAGGATCCCCCAGTAAGGAGCTGGAAAATGTTGCTGGGAAGAAGAACGCCTGGACTATCCTGCTTAGCCTGCAGCCACTGCAACCCAGCCCTTGGATAAGTGTCAGAAAATGGATGGGTGGATTATGTTTTATAATTCTGCTTCTGTGAACAAAAGGGGAACCCCCCACCCCCCCATGAATTCAAGCTAACCACCTGCTGTTCTTTGTGAAAAAGCTATTTTTTTTAGCCACTTGTCAAGTCTTGAGAGTCTGCTATTCAAAATTTCTTGTTGGAGGATCAATTTGAGCAACTTGTGATTTTGCCTTCAACGTCACACAGTAAACAAGCATCAACCTTTATACACCACATGCACACACACACTTCAATGTCACTCTACCTGTTTGACTGCCAGTAACAGCCTGCTATAGCAGTAGATCATCACCAGGACAGGTATACCCAGACAGAAAATGAAGAGGCAGATGATATAGGCATGCGACTGGGCTGTCTGAAGCGTCCAGGAGACAGAGCAGCTGGTTCCTGCTCCCTCTATGCCGTAGCTGCTCCAGCCCAGCAGAGGGGGCACTGTCCAGAACAAGGAGTACAGCCAAGAGCCCCCGACAGCCAGCAGGGGCTTGCGGTAGTCTGGCCCACGCTTGTTGTATACAGTCAGAGTGCTGTAGCGGTCGTAGGAGAGGATCACCAGAGAGATTAGCGAAACAATACCTGAGAAAGACAGAGAGAGGTGGATGAGTGAGAGTGGCTGGCTATAAATCATCTGGCTCACCTAACCAAAACAAAAACATAATAACATAATGTATAACATAGAGTGGAACAAATTGCAAGAGAGGGCCATCAAAAATAGGTCTATAAAATACTAAAAGCAGCCTGAAAAAGACAGCACTTTAGTTTACTTTGTTTAGTTACTAGCAGCTCTGTGAGGCTGAACTGTGTCTTGTGAGCATGCTAACATGCTCACAAGAGCTTATGTTAGGTATAATGTTTACCATCTTACGTGTTAGCACTAAACACTAAGTACAGCTAAGGCTGATAGGAATGTTGTACAGGTATGTGTTCAGAAACCAAAGTACTGGACAAATTAAATGCTTGACCTGATGATGAAGCCAGGGAACACCAAAGTCATTGGGATTCATCCCCTGGGCACTACTAATGTCTGTACAGTTTAATGTAAATCCATCCAATAGTTGTTGAATTAGACAGTCTGGACTGGAGTAGTGGACATCCCTGGAGCCACACCACTAGAGAAGCTAAACAGGGCATTACAAAATCCCCAAAAACTAAAAAAGGTTGATACTTAAAAGACTATAGAATAGATCTTGTGGCTCAGTTTTCAAAGGTTAACTCCTATTTCACGTGGAATAAAAGGCTTCTCAAAACCAAACTGCACATTTGCTAAAGTCATTCAAAGTCGCACCTACATTATTTAAGGCTCAACCCAATGTTCCTGGCTTTTATATTGACCGTACATAAATTACTCAGCTTTGTTTGGGTTTCACAACTATTTCACGCCCCTTTATTAACAGTTAGAGATCTGTGACCGTAAATTTCATTAAGAGTGTCACATCTAAAGTAAAACCTACAGTAAATCAGGATTTAGATTATGAGATTATCACACCGAGTGACTAAAGAAATGACCTCTCCTCATCCCCAGCTTTCCTTCTTTTGAAGCACTAAGGCCTTACAGCCACTCCACTTAATAATTGATCACTGAATACTCAAAAAAATGTGCCTCATCATTGCTAAATACACTAAGTTATGTTTACCCAGTGAACATTTTACATTTTTCGCTGGTGAAAAGACGTACGAAACTGACTCAAAAGTGAATGTTTTTGAAGACGTTTTTGAGCGTATATAGAACATATTTCAGAGGGATTTGCAATAATGAAATTTTCCATCCTCCACAATGTGCAAATAATAACCTTTCATCCCTTTGGAACCTAAAACTACACCCAAATTTATCAGCTAAAAGCCAGTATAAATATAAAAATCCACTTCACAGGGATATCATAGTCTACTGGGGGAAAGTCCTACAATTAACCCGCTAATCCACCACATCGTCCTGCCAATTTTTACTAGCTGACATCCTAGGGACTTTTGTCAGAAAGCACTTTCTGGCAAAAGGCTGAAGATTAACTTCCCACAATACACATATACCTTCGGAGTAGCTGAAGCTGTAACTAATAAGCCTAAGTACTTGCACATGCACATTATAGCAGTAAGCACAATTTCTTATTTTGCATTAATGTACAGAACTTTTCCCATTACGATGTCCTGGAAGCTTCTTGTTTGCAGCCCACAGCCCATATAGTTCAATATTTATGACATTCTAAATTAAACATTAAAAGCGTGTAGACCACATTTTGCCTACCAATGCAATATGACTTCAGAGAAATAATGTACCTTCACACTAATCAGTAACATCTCTCTGTTCACCTACAACTGAACAAACTAACAAAATTATTTTTGAAATGTGTGTTTTGTGACACGCTGATGTTGTAACCACATTGTAGAGACCGTGTGGTTGAAAGGAGGGAGGAAAGAGGTTACAGACGTTCAGACTTAATATCATACAGGTTTCGGCTAGAAGCTTGTTTGTTTTGTTGTAGATTGAAATGTCCAATGCTTCAGTTAACTAATTTTTATGCACATTCACACTACATGTAGTCTGGAAAATATTACGTATCATCTTAAAGTACTTCTAAACTCTGCCCTGAAAGCAGTGTTCCAAGTCAGGCCAGAAAAAAAATCTTATTTTTTCTACTTTCCACTCCAATTGTACAATGTTGTAATTAATAAAGGACAACAACATGATAAAATCAGAAGATAACCACACTTAGTGACGATAATAATACCAGTAAAGTTCATGACTGTGTGCATAAGCAAACACACATGTACCAGGTCCAGGGAGTTTGATTCAGACTATAAATGAGGAAAAGTCTACCTTCTAAAGTATTTGAGCCTGTGCAACTTTTTCTGGCTTTCAGCATCAGCTTTCATTCTCAGGAAGCTCCAAAGAATGCAGGAAGAGTGAAGTAACCTGGGGGTAGGGCTGTATACTGATTCTGTATGCAAGTCCTGTCTCTGACTTACATTCATATTCAGTGCTTTCACAACCCTGCTGGCTTGACGGAGGAAATAACTTGGGGAATCTATTGGGAACACAAAGTCGTGCCATTCAAACATTAACGTCAGCATTTGATTTTGTCTTGATTCTAAAGAGAAAAACAGTGTATCCAATCAATAAGAAGCAAAACTGGAAACCCTGATCACCAGTCCTATCCGCATGCATATCGACGATTAATGTGTATGTCAATGCACATAGCACGCGTGACATACATAGAACTGCCAGAAGGAGCTGTCATGCTGCAGTAGCTGATCTGGTTGAAATTGCTACGTATCCTAAAAAGCACTACAATCTGCAATGACAGACTCGTCACACTACCAATGTGTTTAGTTGCATACCTAAGTAAGTCTAGTCCAGTAAGTGTTGACAGTGTGACAGTGAGCCAGCAGGCACAATACCAGGACCTCGAAGCGGAAATGGAATTCAGCCATCTTCATTTGATTACTTACACCTGTGCTTTTTCTTAGTGTGACATAACATTATGTCTTCTGTGAAAAAAAAGGAACAAAGTCTTAGGTATAACAATAGCTGTAACCATTCATTTCAATTAAATTCCATTTACAATTAGTATGTGTGACAGAAATGTACTGGACACAAGAGGAATGTTTTACTGTGCTTTGACATAGTCGGGTAACCTGAGAGACCTCAGAGTCCTTCACACTTGCTGCATGCTTAATGTGAGGAGGCTCTGGGTGTTTGTAAGCAAAGATAAGATTGAGACACAACTCAAACGTCAGCTGCTATACGGTGGAAAGCATTCAAAGCCTTTTTGAGAGGCCAAATGATAAGTTTCACTAGTTCAAAACATAAAATTTGGAAGTTAGAAATGGAACAGTTAGAAAAGAGGATAAAAGAAACTGAAACTGAACATTTTAAAAATACTTCCCAACAAACACTGAAATCACTTGCTTAACTTAGAGCAATATATAATGTTTTGTCAGTAAATAAAGCAACTAAAAGCTTGCTGAGATCTAAGCAAATCTATTACGAGCAAGGGAAAAAGCTAGCAAGCTCTTAGCCTGGCAAATGAAACAGTGAAACTGAGAGAGCAATGAATTCTATTCAGCTAGATGATGGCCTTGAAACTACTGACCCAGAGGAGATTAATAAAGCCTTTTTGGGTTTTACCAAAATTTATACAGTACAGATTACACTGGCGGAGTCACTAGATAATGGGTCACTCCCCCCCTCTCTAAATATGGCAGCAATCACTCTCTTGTTAAAACCAGGAAAGACTTCCACCCAATGTGGTTCTTATAGACCGATCTCACTTCGCAACAATGTCCTCAAAAAACTTTGTAAGGTTCTAGCTAAACGTTTAGAAAGACTTTTACCAAAAATGGCTTTGTTCTTGTACGACAAGGCTTCCATAATATACATAGAGTGCATAACATTGTTTTTGAGAAATCTCGATGTAATGACACTGCCATTTGTAACTTCCTTGAGAGAAACATGTATATATGGATGTAGATGGCTGGATGGATGACAAGTTGAATTGAATTTCTCTTTTCTTTTATGTATTCATTTAATTTTCCTTTTATGCTGATGGTGAAATGTCTATTCATGGACTAATATATTGAAGCCTAAGATACCTCTACAAACAGGCCAATGTGTATTTTATTTTTTAATTTTTTTCTGTCCATACATGTGCCTTGTGTGTTTTGTTGCCTTCTGTAAAAATTTAAAATAAATACTTGTTTAAAAAAAAAAAGATAAGATTGAGACCTTGTTAATGTTTCTGACTCACCTGATAATAATATTTTATTCTTAAAACTATGGAAGCAGCTATATGTGTGCAGCATTCTCAAAACAAATGTCCCTAAGGGTACAATAAAGTATATCGTATCGTATTGTGTACATACTGTGTCATGAGCTGTGTCCATTCAAGCTATACCTCTATTCTCTGACATCAGGTCTGTGTTGAAATGCAACATATATGCAAGTCAGGACAACCTGGGCTGAACAATTTTTTATTCCTCTGTTGAAGTGAAGATTGACCAAAAAACAAAAAGTTTTTTCCACATCAGTGTTCCAGTAGATTTTGTGTGTGGCAGTGTTTTATGTGTGTGAATGTTCTGTACTGTGTCAGATGATAGGATACTGTGCAGCCTAACTTCCAAATGGGGCAGATTATGATGGTGATGTATTTGAAATATATTTAGTTTCTCAGTTTCCAGCAAATACTTTCCCTGCTTTCTTTCTCTTTTATCTGATTGGAGCTGCAGCATGTCACTGGTTTCCACACTGTGCACGCACACATGCATTGTGAGCAGCAGTCACCGTAGAATCCTAGCAGCAGTCTCTTTCATGTGTCTTATGATTCTGGGGAATTTATTGTGTTTTTGCATTATAAATCATAAAAGATAAAAAGGATTACTTAGAGCAGCTAAAGTACATTCTATAGACGACTAATGCTCCCTGAAATAGCCCTGGAAAATTCCTTTGCTGATCTTTTCAAATCCAACCCTGTGACCCATCTGGGGCTGTGCTATTGACCTTTGTTATTTTCTCATATTTCACAGTGTAATAATGTTACCAACAATTGCCACTATAAATCAAAACAGGGAAGGGCTAACCCCTC